CTGACTCTTCTTTGAAATGAAACACAGAATGGTGTATATTTTGGTTATTGAATAAGCAAAGATTCCTTTAAACTTCTGGTTCAATAAATAAACTTTTGCTAAAATTTAATTATCTTAAAATAAAAAAAAATTAATCTTTGAAGTAAATATAGACCGAGCTCGTTGGTGTATGAACTTCTATCGAATATATTAATATCCTAGATACTTATATATGATAGAAGCTTCATTTGCTAACTCGTTTGATCTCTTCAGAATCTAACAAGCTGATAGCAAACAGCGTTAATTCTAGTATGTAGTTTAACCACGCTACATAATATTTACCAGAGTTGTGTCATCTTTACATTTTCATGCACAATATTACATAGTCGAATTAAAGCTGATTTGTAGCATTGGCCACAGTTATGGAAAAAGTCTGATAAGTTATATTCTGCAGTAAAGCATGTATTCAGTAAAAAATCTGTTGTAGATTTGCTGCTGTTTTGGACCATTGTCCTGTTTAATCACCCAAGATTTGCCTGTTGGGCAGAAGAGTTCAGAGTCGATTCAGAGGTATCCAAATCATCGGTCTTCCATCACCGTGCTGAAATATTGTATGAATTGTTTGTGCTTATAGAATGTGTGATTTTGCCACTGATGCTTCTCTGCATTATGGGTAAACATATCTACTTTGGTTTCATGTGTTCTGGATTTGTTGTGGTTCATTCAGATGCAACTTTACAAACCTAAGTCATGTGATCATGCTTTTTAAAGAGAAGATGTTCTCTCCTGCAGCCCTGGTTCAGTATTTTCCAACATTCCTATTATAAATGTTACTGTGGCCTTTAGAGTCTTAGTTGGAACTCTGATGGCGTTTTTGTCATTTATCTGAGCATATGGTCTGACACTGGGGTAAATTTGCTGGGTTCTCCACATCTGGGAGGATTAGAAAACTGTCTCAACCCCTCAGTGCCTGAAATATGAAACAGTTACATGTTTTAAATATGTTGTTTTATTTTCTAAGGCCAATCAAACAACTATATAATAATGAGTTTTATTTCATTACATATTTCTATAATAATACAACAGTAATAAAGACACTAAAATTGGCCCTCACTACAGTGTAGATCTTTCACCACAGGGCAGCTGACATGTTTAAATGGGGTATGGCATGTTTTTGAAGAAAGTACTAATTTTAATTCTTTATCTGCTTTAATATAAGAAAGGGCTTGCTTTTTGTGTGACAATAATCAGCAAAGACTTAAACATTTTCCACTTGGAATAACATTTTCTTTATAAAATTACAAAAAATAAATAAACGCAAAAATGTCTTAAAATGACTGATATATACCTGACTGCTGATGTGTTTTTTCATGGTATTGTGTTAACACACACTTTTTTAAATTTGTTAATCTAATTCCAGAGTTAATGCTCTCATATTTCAGGTACATCTCAGTCCAAATTCCCTGATATGATTAGTTGTGTCACAATAATGCACCATTTCCAAGAGTAATTAGCACTCTAACACAGTCACACATGGACACCTAGTAAAATCTGTGTCGGTATATCTTTGAGAATAATGGAGGCCTTGTGTTTGTGTGTATTGTTGAGTTACTCCTCCTATTACCCTTTCATTCTCCATGTACACTGTTTTGTCTTTGTTGTGTGTGGTCTGTATTGTGTGACAAAACACACACACACACACACACACACACACACACACACACACACACACACACACACACACACACACACTCACATACACACACTATACGAGACACAAACCCACGAGTGACTGCTGAGGTGACATTTCTATGACAGGAAGTTGGGCTGCAGTCAGGACACAGACGAAGGATGCTGGGACACTGGAGGCCCTGGGCCCAAACCGTGGGAGAGACAGGAGGTAAGAGGAAGTTAGAATCGAGTTTCTAACTTACACATTTTAACCTGTTTGAGGCTGAATGACCTAAAATCAGGAGCTCTTGAGAGATGTTAGAGTAAGCTTTGGGGAAAACAAAGAAACAATTGCCTAAAGACACACATTCTATTTCACCTGAGACCACTGTGTTGTCTCTGGTCTCACTAATCATCTAAAGGCAACCTACTGAGAGTAAAGGTCAGGAGAAAAATGTGCAGGGTTAATGCATAAAACATTTGAGTTTAAAAAGGTTTTGCATGGACTATCTACATTATTTAATTAAATAATAATTAACATTTAAAATCACCAACAAATAAAATTATAAATGAAACATTTCTGCAGATATTGTTCATATTCATCTAATCTATTTTATTTTTTGCGAGGCATGAGTGTTTCTGACTGATGTGTTCAGATTATTGCTCCATTGTGAACGGAGAGGGAGGGATGCAACGGATCATGTGGCAAAAGTCAGACTGAACACGGCGCCTACACACTACTCAGGGGTCACGCAGGGGTTGTCATGTAGCTACTGTGCCCACTGCCAAATATCCAAACACACACACACACACACACACACACACACACACACACACACACACACACACACACACACACACACACACACACACACACACTGGGCAGAGACAAAAGCACTTACAACACATTATATTATCTTTTATGCAAACTGAGAAGACACGATCTAATAGTTGTTCTCATGACGTGTGTCTGGTTTATTCGTCCCTCTAGGTTACTTTGAACAAAGTGCTTTAATTTTCACCCCTCTTATAAATAATGGTAGGAAAATATCAGTAACAAAAATCCTTTTCTGGCATCTTCACCTACATCCACTATGACATTTTTCCTTTCATATTTCAGAGGTCACGTAACAGAAGAGAACCGTGCTGACCTTTCTGTGTGTTTAAACCAGGCTGTAAAAAAAACAGAGCAGAAAAGGAGACAACAAGTGGTGAAGGGGACAAAATATATGAAATTTGCTAAATGTCAAGAGCCACAGTAATGGGAGGAAGAGAATGGGGGGGGGTGGATCAGGTTGCAGTGTTTTCATGTTCAACCACCATTACAGTAATGTGTTGGGACCACTTCACTAATGCATAAAAACACTACGATACCAGCAAATAAACACAAGAAATTAGTCAAAGAGGGCCGCTGGAAAATGTAGATGTAGCATTTTAACCTCCACCGCCAAGATACACACACACACACACACACACACACACAGAGAGAGAGAGAGAGAGAGCAGTGACTAACGTTATTAGCCTCCTCATTCCTCTTTTGAGCAGTGATTTGAAACCTAATTACCTCACCAGAGTCAAATTAAAAGCTTCTCCTCTCAATGGCTACGATCCATCTGCTGACAAACCAATGGAGCTGCTTCTACAGTGTCTCTGCATTCAGATAACTTCATTCATCCAATCTGCATTCAGATCATTTCTTCCGTTTAAACCAAGGCATTCACACTAGCAGCACATTATCTCACTTAAACTAACATCAATCTAATTTGAGACATGAATTATGAGGGATTAAAGAAAAGCATCTGCTAGATCACAGTGATTATATACAATCTACAGATTATGTAATATTTCTGTCAAACCTCACGCCATATAAAGACTGAAGCACTTAGCTTCCTGTGCAAGTAGCTTTTCCTGTTCAAAAATGAAATAAAAGTGTAGTTTAGGGCTGGAAACCTTACTGAGGAGCTTTGTTTATGTGAGATAACTTGGAACGACTCCTGTTTTAACTATGCGAAATTATACTCTGTATTTTATTCAGAATAAAGGTCATTCCTCACATAAAAAGTGAAACATTTAAAAAAATGAATGAAATTAGTCAAACTGCCTTAAGAATAAGAAAAACAGTCGTTTAGTTTCTGGTATTTCCTCGATGACAATCTATTCGGTCATCATTTTCTATAAATCCCCCAAATTGAGCTGCTGTTTCTATAAGAGGGGGAAAAACAACTTAATTATTTTCAAGACTATTTTATAAGAACATAATGATCTCCAAGAGATGAACTAAAGTATGTGACAGCCTCCTGTTTTAAAATGTAAATAGAAAAAAAGATCTATTTTACTCCTTTATCCATCAGTAAATTATTAAAACATATCTCATAAAGGATGAACAGGACAGGATACATCTACCATATTTATTTATAAAGCACCATTTCAAAATAGCATGGCAGCTGACCAAAGTGCTGTACATAAAAAACCAAATGTTTGAACAAGAAACATAATAAGAACAGGCAAAATACATAAGAACAAAGCAAAAATAGTCGGAGATAAAAATTCTGACTAAAAACAATAAAATAGGATGCGACGAATGATGTAAACATTTGAAATGGCACAAATAAAACGAAATAAGCTACCAGATGGTGCAAGGTGCCAAAAGTGTGCAACTGAATCATAAAAACAGAATTAAAAAAATCCAGTGCTAGATGTTCATGGTTAAATCAAGCATGATTATGAGGAGAACTCTTTACATGATGGATATTTTTGTAACTAAACAAATCCAGTTAAGCAGAGAACTCGAACGCCAGATATAAACCAGCTAACTAAGACCAGTAACTCAAATAACAGCTTTACTACGATCTAGTATTGTTTAATTGTAAGTATGTTTGACAATGATGGGATTCTTAAAGAGCAAGTAATGTCTAAATTAACTTTTTTTGCTGATGAACTGTATAAATGAGTGTCTAATAGTGTTTTAAATGTGTGTATTCATTATTTTAGCATTTTGGTGCATTTTTTTTTAATTAAAAATTCTGCCTAAATACCACAGTATAGCGCCACCTTCAGCTTAAAACATAGAATTTGACTCATTTTGAATAAATTTTAGCCAATGGCTAAAGAGTAAGATACTACGTAAACCAGTAGAGTACTACGTAGCAGCTCTGTGTCAAAGTTATAAAGCAACGAGCGTCTCGGCCACGCCTTGTGGCGAGTTGGGAGTTGGATTTGCAAGCGAGTATAGGAGGCTAGCCGTAGTTCAGCATTAGCATACAGCATTAGCATATCCTAGTCTTTAGCGTAGCCTTTAGTGTTATACATACTTATTTAGTGTTAGCTTGGCTGTTGGATATTGTAGTTTAGTTACTGTTTGGCTGTTAGTGTTATTAGGAAAGTAGTTCAGGTTTAGTGCTCCATATCGTGTTAGTATGGTGAGAAGGTGTAGTGTAGTGTGGTTGTGGTGGCTCTGTGGAGTTGTACTCCTTTCCGCTGGACTTAGAAATTAGGCGCCAGTGGTTGCGTGTCTGGAAAAGATTCAGCTCCTGCCGGGTGCTGTAGTTTGCAACCAGCATTTTACCCGCGATTCTGCACGTCTCCGTTCCAAGAGGGAGGCTGTGCCCACCGTGGCTCTTCCGCGATTTAGATGCAGCCCACCGACTCTGCTCCCCCACCATGACGGGCTCCAGTCTGAGGTGAGTAAGCTAAATAAAAGTTTTAACATCTTCTAAAGACAATTCCCTTCCGAAATGCAAAGTTTGAGAGACGTGGTTCACTCCATTTGGCTAATATCAGCCTGCACTGCCTTCGGGCTGATTTGTCAAGTTCTCAAAATGTGGAACGGGATGTAAGGTTAGAATCAGCGGTGAATCGGAACATATCTCGAAGCCCTGGCCGACAAAACGGTCCACATGACTGTCAGGCTCGGAGAAAATTCGGGTTGTTTTTGTGTCAGTCGGTAATTCTGCAACAGTGGCTCTAACTGACGCAGCACTAGTTGACAGACAGCATTACAGCGTGAAATCCAGCACAGCGCGACCCGGTTCCGTGAGGAATTCTGTTCAGGAGGTCGCATTTCAGGCTCTCCACATCATATGTGACTGACTTTTACGTTATAATGATGACACACTAGGAATGTTATAAAGCGCCTATATAGGAGAGTTTCTTTTGTATATTATCTGACATTATAAACAACAATGTGCTTCTATTTTTTTTTTTCAGGCTAAATCTACCCAAGACACTGGCTGTCAGACTGATTTAGTAATCTGCAAGAATGCACTTGTCCAGGCTGACGTGAAGCGTTACCCGTAGCAAAGGTGAATTATTTTTAATAATCTTCTATGTAAACATTTTATTACCTTCTAGTTTTAATTTGTTTTACAGATTGTTACACGCGATTTTATGCTCTTTTAAACATTTATAAATGTGCTGCTTCTTTGTTTTTTATAGAGCTCACAGCCTCAATGTCTTGTGACACAGGGACCATGACGGAAATTCATCTTCCAGAAGGTCCCAGAGCATCCACACCCCCTGAAAAGACCAAGATGTGAGGTGTCTGCTGTTGATTCCAGCTTCCACCTCAGTGACAATGCAAGCTCAGTGAACTGTTCAAGGTAAAAAAAAATTAAAACATTTCTGAATTTTTACGATATTAACAATTAAATAAGTATGTGATTACATCATGACGGAGGCTACTGATTCTGGCCCTGTGACACTTGGTGGTGACGTGTGAGCTGATTCACCAGGTAAATAACTTTTACATTAAATATTTTATTCTTTGCTATCAAAAGTAAATTAACTAATAACCTGCATTATTGCAGGACACTCAGCAAAATATGGACTCTACATCATGAGGCAGGCACACGTTAATACTCTATAAGAGCACATAAGGTGAGCAACACCACATATTATTTTATTACTGTACACTGTCCTGGATTTGTTTTCTTTCTGCATCTCATCATTAGCCTGGCTGATCACCTGATAACTCCTGTCATCTGGTTGTGACAGCATGAGGATGTCCTCACACACCTGTAACCTATTAGCTCATCTGGCAGAATAGAGAGAGGAGACAACACCACATCTGTTCCTGGAAAGCCTTCAGCCATCCTTCGATGACTGAGAACCTCCATCAGCTCTGTCTCCTGTCTGCCTACAATTATTATAATAAATATTGTGTTTGACAAGTTTTTTGTGCTGCCAAATATCTCATTTTGATTCCAGTTTTGATATTTTAATGGATATTTATAAATTACATTAATTGAATTATCACATTGCATGTTTAACTAGCTCTATTGTGATGAATTAAACTAGCACCTCACTGTTAAAAGCTCATTTTAATTTCAAGCATGTTTAAGTATTAATGGACATGAACAAAAACAGGAAATATATAAATTGAGATTTATTTAATTAATATAACACATAAGGGGGAAAGAGTCATTGAAAGGCACATTCTTCTGGAAGCTCCTGATCCTGACGACACCAGCAGGAGACCAGCTGCAGACACCAGAAGATCACCTGCAACCAAGAGCAGCTAGTATCAGTAAATAAATAATGAAATCAGGGCAGTTTTAGTGGGCTGAACACATTACAGAATAATTTTCTCATGGGATATTTTCATAACTTTATGCAGCAGACTGTAGCTTGAGCCCAGATCTCCTGGAGAGCTATCCAGCACGTTTCAGTGGATTTTCCTGCTTTAACAGGTTAGATAAGCTGTTAAGCAGCTCAGCTATTTATTGCTGATTAAAACCAGGTGTGTTGATGCAGATAAATCTCTAAAACATGCTGAATACTAGCTCTCGGGCCGTGGAGCAAAACCCTGCAGCTAATCTGATGCTATGGCTAACGGCTACTTACCATTCAGAG